ACTAGATAAAGGTCCAGAACAATGTTTACAGGAAATATCACATGATTCACATTGTTTTGTTTTATAATTAAAATAATAAGAATCAATACAACGAGAACATCCACTAGAAGTATATGATAAACAATGTTCATTTAAATCCATTTTTAATTCTTCTACATTATTTTGAACACACTCACCATTTGGTCCAACATGATAATTTTTTATGCAATCATTACATCTATTAGAACTACGATCAAAATATTTACAATTTTTATTTATTTTAAAATATTCATTTGTTATACCAAGAGTATTATTTATTTCACATTGTTCATATTCTAAACAAATTCCATCAATATTATTTGTATTTGAGTCACATAAAATACATTTATTATTGCCAATATCATATTTTAAACAATGTGAAGGTGCTAAAATACATTCGTTTATATTATCTAAATAATATCCATTTTCACATTCAATACAATAATCTTCTTGATATATTTTACAATTGTTTATTGTTGTATTGCATAAAATAATATCATTGCTTATTTTTTTATAATATCCTTTTGAACATTTATTACAACTAACTTGTTGTTTTTCATTTAAATAACAAAATTCACATCCTTCCATACAAATTGTACATTCTCCATTGTAATTATAATACCCATCTTCACATTTTCTACACATGTGTTGAATAAAATCATATGATTCACAATGAAGTAATGAACTACTAACACATTCCCCATGATACAATTCATAATTTGATGAACATAATGAACATTTTTTTATCCCATTAGAATCAATTGAACATTTATCACAATTTAATGGACAATTATTACAATTCCCAAATGAATTAGAATTGTTACATTCTAAACATCCATATATTTCATCTAAAGATGAACAAAATGATTCAGTAATTTCAAATTTAATTCTTTCACATTTTCCATTATTAACAAAATATCCTATTTCACATTGAAGACATTGATTTTCTGAAATACATTGAATACAATGATATTCACATCGTGAACAAGTCATTCTTTGAGGATAATAACCTATTCCACATGTTTTACATTCATATTGATGTTTGTCAGAGTTAATGAGATAATATTCCATACAAAATGATGAAAATGAAAGTTCAGGTTTGAAATTATCAATTTCTATAAATTAATGTTTTTAAATGATTTTTTTCTTTATTTTGTTTGTAAAACAAAAAGAATAAACAAACGTTCACATATTATTAAACCTAAGTCTGTGTCAATAAAAGAATAATATCCGTATTCACACATTGAACATCCTTGATAATTTGAAAGTTGTGAAATATATATTTTACAATGAGGAATTGGGTGTTGAATAATTGAAATACATTGTGCATTACTATTAAAATTAATAATATAATAATTATCTTCACACTCATAACAACTTCGTAAATTAAATGTTTTACAATGATAATTATATTTAAAAGGTACACACATTCTATTTGGTGTTTTTGTAAATCCAGTCCAACATAGTTGATGGTTGTCACTACAACTTGTACATTGACTATTTTGACATTCATAGTCATATCCTTTTAAATCAAGACATTTTACATTTCCTGTTGTTGGATCATTTTGACTTGTATATCCATTTTCACAATAACAAGAATATGGGGTTCCAGTACATGATGTACAATGTTCTTTACATACTGTTTTAAGATAACCTAATAATTAATATTGAATGATGTTTGTTTGTTTTTTCAAAAGAAAACGAATGAAAATAGAAAACAAACTTTCACATTGTCCTGACGTTAAGTTAAATTCATACCCATCAGTACAACTTGAGCAATAAGAGTCTTCAATAAGACTACACGCAGAATCAGGTATTTGACATGTGTGTGTTAATTGATTAGGTACACGATTAGGATCTTCACATCTATTGCAAAAAACACCATCTGTGTAACTGCATCCACTGAATTTAGATATATGAAGACATTGGTATGGATTTTCTAATGGTAGAAAGTAATTTAGTTGGCAAGCAAGACACTCGCAAGTATGATAATCATAAACTCCACAAGAAGGAATTATTGGACACCATGAAGCTAATAATATTAATTCAATTGAATGAAAACAAAGAAATAATTTAAAAGAAAAGATAGTCAATAAAAAAAACAAACACGAACAAAAGGAATTAATACCATACAACCTATTATTTTTTTGAATAGAATTCATTATTAATAAATCACCATCATTACAAGACTCACAACCAGAGTAACTTTTATATTCATTCTGATTACTACGAAGATCATAAT